TGTAGCAAATCTGCTAACCGTAATTCCCACGTATCGCTTCTAAAGGATAACCTTCTTTAAAGGATAGTCCTATCAAGTATTTAAGTGTGTGCTCGTTTTCTGTTGTCGCTCTCAATGAGGCTAGTTCGGGATTATCCTGCTTCAGGGAAAATGGGGAGTGTGTTGGTTAATGTTTCTTAAGGATGTATTTGCAGTGCAAAAGCTGATTAAAAAAAAGAGAGGCTCTAAATTGAAAGGAAAGTATCACAAATTAAGATTTCCCAAGAGCTTTGCACTCTGTTGTGGTATTAAAATATAGTCATAGTTAAATTCTAAAGATCATTTAATAAATGAACGAGAACTGATGATCTTACAGACTAAAATGTGCTAAGTGAGATACATTTCAGCATTTGTCTCTGTCTGTATCAACGTGAACTGTTGTGACTAACTGGTTTGTATATGGCATGTTTCCAGCCAGGTTTGGAGATGGATTATATGACTCCTATATGAGGATAGATCAGATTAGGTACCAAGACTCTACAAATGAAGAACACAGCCCCTCAGGACTTCCTTCCCTTGGAAGATCTAATGTGAGTATTTTAAAGTTATCTGGGTCTTCACCGCGTTGTGTTGTGTGGCAGCGAAAACTGTCAAGGAGTTAGACATCTCACTGTAGAGAATAAATTAAAAAAGTGGGATGTTGCAGCTTTGTAGTAGCTTATTAACGTTATTGCTTTTACTAAGCATAAAAATGATGTGGTATTGTGTTCAGTGCAGAACTTGCTAGGCAGCCTCAGAAATCCTATCTTACTATCCTCAGCTCATGTTTTAATCAAGAAAGTTATTTTACAAATGGCTGAAGTGTTCCGTGTGTCACCTTGTATGTTGATAAGGATGTAAAGCCACACGTGCTTTGCTTTAACTCTTGCACGTTTCCATTTTAGTTTCCCTTGTGAAAATTCCAAGAGATACGTACTTACGAACAGCAGAAGGAGCAGTGTGGGTTTGCATGGCTGTCAAACATCTTACAAAAGTATCTTTCTCCTCTGAAAACTTTGGCATTATCTGCCACTACGTTTGCTAGCAAAATAGCTCTTTATGGACTGAAGGTGTTAACGTGCTTCTTTGTAAGTGCTGTGTTTCCTCAGCAGATGTGGAGTTATGAGATCTTTCCTTAACTCGATTCAACTGAGCAGTAGTGGTCGTGTTTAGCTGTACAGTGATCTGACCTTTATATGGTTTTTAAACGTGTTTTGGCTCTTGTTGAATTCTGGCAGAAGTGAAGGAGCTTGAGCTTAAAAAAACCCGCTCTCTAAAATGTGAAAATAGACATTTCACTGAGTAAGATGCGTTTGAAAATCATCACCTTGTTGGAATTTATTGTAACAGATATTAGTAATTAATGTGGTCTGTGCTGTTCACTGAGCAAACTCAGTAGCATGGGTCTGTGTTTTCCCTTTTTGGCAATGTTGAGGGATAGCAGAAGAAATGTAGAGATTTGTTGAGTAGTAGAGTTTGAAGAGTAGTGTTCATAACTGAACAGAAATCCATAGGATGGAACTATCTAGTTAAATACAAATATAACTCCATGAATATTTAGTTTCCCTGGTGTATCTTATTTTTCATCTGTATTTTGTCCATCAAGCCTGTTAACTTCTTAAGGCAAGATTAAGGATTATAAAATGCCTAGTTTTGCCGTAATGACACATCAAAAAATACAACCTTAGTGGCATCTTGCGAGCAGGAACTGAGATGAAGCATGCAAGGATGAAAATCATGATGCTCAATTTTAATGGGAAAGTATCTGGAATTAAGTGATATTTGGTTTCCTTCTTGCAAGATTTTTATATTACAGTGTAATGTTACATGAGAATTGAAAACTTCTGAGGTCTGCAGCTGTCCATTCTTTTCATCTTCGCTATAAGAGAACATAAATGTCTCTGCTTTGAGAATACATGCTTTTAGTTCAGTTTGTTTAATTCAGTATTCAGAAAATAACTGATGCACTTTTGCAAAACCACCTGTATAGGAACTGGGTTAACTGTTTCCTTCTCAATTAACATGAAGTTTTGTAAATATGTGAAGATCTTCAACAGGGTGCCACTTGTGTTGTCAGTCTAATTTCTTGGCTGCTAATAGCACTTTATCGATAAAACAAAACCTGTGCAGCCTGTGATTTGTAAAAGAAAGCTGTTGAAAGAAAGCTGATGTTCCCAGAAGTCATCTGACTTTAAGTGCAGCTCTTCTGAGTTCAAGTTAGGATTGATCTATATTTGTGTCTGACTGTCATGTGGCAAGTGATTTTGGTAGTCCTCTAAGAATGAAAATTTAGTCCTTACTACTGAATGGCTGTGGAGTCGGGTTTGAGATTTAAAGCTGTAGTTTCTTCATTAAGAAATAGTTCCGGGATAAACAGAATCGTGAATTCCTTGTTTATTTAGGGATTCAAAGGTACAGAATGTTTGCCACAAACAGCATTAGCAGAGTTGCTATTGCTCCTGAATAGGGCATATTTAGATGTAGCACTGTTTGCAAGGCTTTCACACTTTTATCATGTTGCTACAATTTATGACATTCAGACTGTTAACACCATTTTTCCGAAACCAAATAGTTGAAAGACATTTGTGCAATACAGTAGCACGTTTTGAAGTCTTGGTGCTTGCTTAATTCATTTATCCAGCTAGAGCTCCGCAGAGCCCTGCTGGTACAAACTCCCATGGCAGTGTTCTGCGTTAGGGTGGCTGTCTGCAAAGGTGCAGTCGTGTCCGTTCTAAGTCACTGATAAAAAGCTGCTTCTGTTGTGCATACAATTGAAACCCGTGTAGGGAGGATATCGAGTTTTGATTGCAAAGGTGAAAATAAGACTTCTACTGTAGAAGGACAGCCTTGTTTTGGTTTGGTTTTTCCCCCTCTCTCCTGCCCCCCTGGAAAACTTCAGAAAACAAACAAGTGTGAACCTTGTTCTGTGCTTATGTTCTCTGTTTATTTGTAAACTTACTGTTTGAGTCTCCTGGACTGAACAGTCTTGTAGCCAGTTCCGAAAATATGTCATTCTTATCTCGGAGGTTCAGCCAGACTCCGAGAAAAAAGGCGTTTATTCTAAGTTACCAGGGTTGGGCTTTGTTTTTTTATTTAAGACTTTCTGGAAAGGCGTGTCTCTTACAGTACACTGTATTTTTGGGTCGATAGGACTCAGAGTAGTGGAACTTAGCAGGATATATCCGATGGCCCCTAGTCACCACTGATAAGGACTGACTTTTGCAGGAAATGCCCATCTTTGAGGGCTTGTGAACAAGGGCAAACATTTCAAGGCAGCACCAACAAACAGACTCTTAAGAGGCGTGTGTAGTTGTTTTTGGCAAGAACGTTCGCTTCCCTTATTTACTGTCTGTGCCGAGATGTTGGATTGTATGTAACTAAAAAGGAATTTGGTTTTATTGCTGTGGATCTGCAGGTTTATTTATAATTTTTGTTTGATTCCTGTGTAGTTATTTTGGTTTTCAGGGATTCGGTTTGGCATGTGTCTCAAATCTTTATTTTTAGATTAAAGGACAAAATGGAAAACAGATGTTGCTACTCTAGTCAAGGCTTCTTCAGTGTTGCACAGGATAAGACAACACCTCTCTGCTGTCTCTCAGCATGGAGTGTCAGTGAGTAGAAAAGGGGAATAACTGCTGTTCAAGTAAGGAACTGAACTCCAGGAGTTGAGCATTTAATAATTTGTAAAAATGACAAGCCTGAAAAATTTCACAGTGCTTTTCTCACCTTCTGAGAGTTCATTTCAGATGTAAATATTTTAACATATGGCAGTAAGAGGCAGTGGTTACAGACTACTGTCAACACAGTTGGAGTAAGAGAGCTTCTTGATTATTCAAAGCTTCCAGGTCTGTCTGAAGATAGTTGTGCAGCTATCACGATTTTAAAAGGAGTTGTGGATATGATGATGTTTTCCCCTTCAAAGAAAAAACATCAATTTAAAGAAAAAAAGTATGGTTTATCTTGTCTCACTGTCATCCTTTTGCTCCTTGTTCAGCTTGGTTACACCAGCCTTATGCCACTTGCTGTTGTTTCTTTGTCTCCTTTGGCACACTTGTCTTTGCAATATTGCTAACGCTTCTCTGCACATTCATGTTCTGTTGCACGTTTCAGACAGGTGCAAGTTGCATCTGTCGTTGGTTGTGTTTGCTGCACCCACATTTAAAGCTAAACATAGCTGTTCCCCCGGCTGTTTGCTGACTACGTGCATACTGGTGGAGATAGGTATTGTGTCCTTGTTTGAGCGTTTGACTCTCTAGGGTTTACCCTTTATGGACTTAAAAACACACTACGTTTGTGCAAGTGCTTGTTTCAGTAAGCTGCATTCTCTTTGTGTACCCTTCTATAACTATGCTTGTAACTTGAGTTAGTTTAGCGTTTTTGTATTTTGTATTTGTTCCTCACAGAAATGCAAAACATGTGAATGTTGCTGTTTTTGTTTTACGTGGTATTGATTTTATTCTTAGTCTGTGCTTTAAAAGATAAAGTAAAGCTTATTTTTTTTGTTTTTCCATCTGTAGGTTTCTAGCAACAAACTCGCAATGAAGGATCACCCTCTGACTGGAAGTCAGGTCAAAGTGGAGCAATTATTTGAGGACTCTGGCAACAGAAGGAGTAGCACTCTTCAGTCTGCAGGAATTACTGGTTCAGAAAGATCTCTTCCTTCCCTGACAAAAGATAAAAGTATAGAGAGCATAAGCACTTCTAAAGGTGGTGGTAGTTCCTCAAAAGCACATAAAGCCATTTCCCAAGCTCCAGAGCAAGCTGTCAAACAGTACAAACATCAGTTATCTGCTTATGAGCAGCAAGAGATATTTAATTTTTCTGAAATTTACTTTGTGGGTCCAGCTGCAAAAAAGAGGCAAGGAGTTATTGGTGGTCCCAACAATGGAGGTTATGATGACGACCAAGGCAGCTACATTCACGTGCCCCATGACCATCTTGCTTACCGGTATGAAGTACTCAAAATCATTGGCAAGGGCAGTTTTGGACAAGTTGCTAAAGTCTACGATCACAAACTCCACCAACACTTAGCCTTAAAGATGGTTCGCAATGAAAAGAGATTCCATCGCCAAGCAGCAGAAGAAATCCGGATTCTGGAGCATCTGAAGAAGCAGGATAAAACGGGCAGTATGAATGTTATTCACATGCTGGAAAGCTTCACCTTTCGGAACCACATCTGTATGACCTTTGAACTCTTGAGTATGAACCTGTATGAGCTGATTAAAAGAAATAAGTTTCAGGGCTTCAGTATCCAACTGGTGCGCAAGTTTGCTCACTCTATACTGCAGTGCTTGGATGCCCTTTATAGAAACAAAATCATACACTGTGACTTGAAGCCGGAAAATATCCTCCTAAAACAGCAAGGGAGGAGTGGAATCAAGGTTATAGATTTTGGGTCCAGCTGTTTTGAGCACCAAAGAGTCTACACATATATTCAGTCTCGATTTTATCGGGCGCCAGAGGTAATTCTGGGCAGTCGCTATGGGATGCCCATAGACATGTGGAGTTTTGGCTGTATTCTGGTGGAGCTGTTGACTGGCTACCCTCTTTTTCCTGGAGAGGATGAAGGAGACCAACTGGCTTGTATGATGGAACTTCTTGGAGTGCCACCTCAGAAGCTTTTGGATCAATCCAAGCGAGCCAAGAACTTCATCAGCTCTAAGGGTCATCCTCGCTACTGCACTGTGACTATGCACGCAGATGGAAGAGTGACCCTTAATGGGAGTCGATCGCGCCGGGGTAAAATACGAGGCGCTCCAGGGAACAAAGACTGGGTGACAGCACTGAAAGGCTGTGACGATCCCTTGTTTATAGAGTTCTTAAAAGAATGTCTCAGCTGGGATCCTTCTGTACGCATGACTCCGAGTCAAGCTTTAAGGCACCCTTGGATTTGTAAACGAATGCCCAAACCACCCAGCACTGATAAAACCTCCAATAAACGGATTTCTAGCTATACAAGTTCTCTCACAGGAATAGGTTCCAAGTTGCCTCCTGTAGTTGGAGTAGCGAACAAGCTGAGGGCTAACTTAACGTCCGACTCCAATGGCAGTATACCTCTATGTACTGTGCTGCCCAAACTGGTCAGCTAATAGAGAACTATGTATTTCCAGAATACGTACCTTGTATTTTAATTGTTTGCTAATAATGTGTAAGGAAGCTAAATGCAGAGGTTTTTAATGGATTTACTTTTTATTAGAGGCTAAATCTTGAATATAAAAAGTTCAGTCAACATGTACACATTTAAAGGGCTAACTTTTATCCGATTGTTTCACTCACAATGTGGTGCATATTACATCACTGGGTAGGTCAGCTCAGCTGTTGAGTAAAACGACAGTTTGGCAGACGTGCTATTTAATAATGCTGTTTTAGAAATCAGACTATTTCTTATCAGGACGGTTTAACAGATCCTTTTGCTTAAGACAGCAAGGGAAATTGATTTAAAATATGTATTTTCAGTTAATCTCCAACTGAACTCTTTTTATTCTGGGGAGAGTTTTTACATCTAATGTCAAAAGCACAAATGTGTTAATGTAATGCATTAGGAACTTACTTGCAAATTGCTAACTTCTGTTTGAAGAATTTGATTTCTCTGTGCTGCTTTTCCCTTATCTATCCTGACTGAGATTTTTAAAAATACCATGGAATGTAGACACCAAAGGAATTTGGTGTTGAAATTTTATCGTCTGATTTTTGTTTTGGTTTTTTTTTTCCCCAAAGGAGCATAGAAATGCCATGGAACACAGGATATATCTAAATAAAACTACTAACTTCCGTACACTTGCTATTTCCCTTAAAAGTCTATAGAAAGCTGGTAGGGGAATTCAAGATCAGGACTGGCCTGTCACAAGTGTGGGCCAGTTTGTTCAGGGCTAATGAATCAGTCATAGGTTTCTTTGGAGCTCAAATGGAAATCGTCAGTTCTGCCAGATGTGTGCGTGTGTGTTTGTTTTCCTATGTTGTTCCCAAAACAAAAATGTTGAGCTTAAAGAGCATGTTTTATATACATGTTTGAGATTCTGGTCATTTTAAAAATTTCTTTTTTTGTGTGTAGAGTGAATTCCATTGAATTACATGGAGCTCTCTTAATAAAAAGCAAACGTGCCACCCCTATCAGGGGGCCCAGGACTGTAACTAGAAAATGGGGGCGAGGGGGCACACCTAATGATTGGAAGCGTGCTCTGAAATCTAAGCATAATCTGTAAAATATCAGGGGAGATTGATAAGGTGCAAGAACTGGTGGATCCAAATCAAAATACATTATGGGAAGAATTGCTTTATTATTTCTAATCGTATTCCTTCAGGTCTTTGAGAGAGAGATGCCTACGTTTTCTCATTCTTGAAATACGTGAGCTTGTATTTCCTCTTCCTTTATCTTCCAAGAACATGAAAAGGTGGTGTGACCTGTAATGACAACAGCACAACTCGTTCGGGTTGTTATTTCTTGCAGCCACATGGCCCGAGTCCCTTTGCAGAAACATCTGATCTCTTGCCAGGTGCCTGAACACAATTTTAAATGCAATTCGGAGCTTTTATGAACAGAAGGTTTTAAATTTAATGAGTTTCTCTGTAGCAGGCTTTTAATGTTAAAACAAGGAGACTCTCAGTATACAAACAAAGGAATTTCAGGGTGATTTTTAAGAAAAGGTGACCACGTGGTCAATACAAGACCCTCCCTCTGAGAAGATGGGGCTGCATTTTCTCCTCTGCTCTGTTTAATTACAGCACTGGTGAAATGCTGGGTGGAGGCCTGTATAAAAAGGTCAAAAAGACAGAGCCAAAGCTCCAAACTTTCCAGGACTGTTGTTTAAACTGAGGTTCTCGTGTACGTAGCTTTTCTGAGTTCTTTTGTTTTACACGTGTAAATTCAATAAGCTTAGTAATAATATTAAAATAACAGTCTAGCCTTTATCCGTGCAGCTACAAGTAACACCAGCGTGCATGGTATGTTCATGGATCACTTCATAATAATGCATGACTGGTATTTTTTATTTGGCTCAGCTGAGTGAAGTTTTATCTGAATGGAGAATCAGGGAAGTGGATTTTCGGAGGAAGTGGCAGAAGACACCATTGATTTTAGTAGAATCTCTTTAACAGATGTGGCACGTTTTCAGAAGCCAGAAAGAACTTCTTCCTCCTCTGCCCTTTATCCTATACATTTTTTTTTTTTTACAAAATATACCTGGTGAGTGAGGAGAAAGGAACGTTTCAGGAGCAATAGCTTGTTAGGAAAGATGCATAGCAAAACTTTATATAACGTTTCAGGAGCAATAGCTTGTTAGGAAAGATGCATAGCAAAGCACTTTATATAGAGGCTGTAAAGCGATGGTAGTGTCTGGAGCCTGGCAGAAGACAGTAGAGTGTTGGCGTGCTAGGAGCTGCACAAACAGGTCTTCTCTTGGGAACACAGAGCAGTACCTTGGTTCTAAACCATTTTCATCTATAAGATGCCAAATGTAGAGTAATCATTCTCCTGTGATTTCTGGGACCTGGTTACTATGAGGTAACTTCTAATGCAACAGCCTCTGGTGTACACACAGTAATCTCACTTAAGGCTGGTGCTGTAAAACTGCAGATAAAAGTAATTAGCTGGCAAGAACATTGCTTTTTATCTGGAAAATGTGTTCAGCGTGACCTGACTGCACAAGGTGCCTGTTATGAGTTGTGTGTGTTTGAGACTGGATCTTGCTTACTTGGGACTACTATATTTTAAAATACCAAGTGCATAGTTAACTGTCTTGCTAATTTGGGGCTCTCGTCTATATAGTCATAGTAGGTGAGAAGGAAAAGGAAGGCAGCCTCAGAAGATTTTTACTGTATTGAAACGGACTTCTTCATAACCCAGGGAATACAGCTGAGAATATCGTGGTGGTGTTTCCAATTACTAAGCCCCGTTTTGTTTATAAAATGTTTGCTTTCAGTGAATAGTGTGCCCAGTATTCCCAAACTGGGAGAGCCCTGCAAGTGAGCTAATAAATCTCGTATCTGGGAGAGAGCTGAGGAATCGTCCCAGTAAACACTTGGCTTGTAGAGTTCCCTGTGAATTAGCAGAGGAGTTGCCCGCAGCCACGCGTGGAGGGTTGGACCACGGGCTGCGTTGTTGGACGGTGTCGTTTATAAAGGGTGGTGACGCTCACAGTGGCTGTCTTCACTGACATACAGTCGAATCCCAAATTCACACTTTATTCTTTGGAAAGCTAAACACTAGTGAGGTCTGAAATCGCCCCAAATCCATCATTTTCATTAGTTGTGATACTGGTTAGAATGGTAAAAGTAGTCTAAACCTAAACTTGTCTAAATAGATTAACAGAACTGCTTTTATTTTTGTGTAATTCTTTGCTTTGCGAGTTTGTTAATCTGCCAGCACTAGTGAGATTCCACTGGAACTTCAATCGTGTTCTCCTAGGAAGTTAGCACAAAACAAATGCAAATTACTTGGGTTTACAGCAAAACAGACATCACATTTATAAAAGTCACTTAAACTTGTTTTAAAATGTTCCTTATAGCGTTCCCTCTGTTTTACTGCACTGTTAGTCTCTGTATTGTAAATAACATGCTCTGTTTATTGTCTGCGTTTTTACCTGTTTCGTTTATATAAAAATATTGCTAAACCAATGACAAGGCATGAGCATCACATCCGACAGATACACGTTGCTTTTACACGGGGGTCCAAATATTGCCTGCCTGTCCAAGTTGCAAGGAGAAACTTGTTTTTGTTTGGACTCAGTGGGACAGTGAAGTATTATTCTTCCCTGCGGAACATGGTACCACAGACAGACACCCGCCCAGGCTGCGTTTAGTTCTTTACAGGTTTGATCTTAACTAAGGCCAACTGCTGAACGTGAAGCTTGTTTCACAACAGTGACCTGATTATAGAGATGATCTGCGTACAACAGATACTCTTCGCTAGAGTTTTTTATCCTTCCCATCCAGCTTGAATAGGAACTCCAGTTGTCTAACCTAAGAATTCACAACAGGCTAACTGGGAAGCTTTAAGGTGACTTTTGTGGAAGAGTGAGTGTGTTGCTCAGTCTGAAATTGTTTACAATCGTCGTGACCTGTTAGGACTTCCATGCAGTTGAAAACTTTTTAAGCACCAATTTCTCAGTAGAGGTTCTTCGCAATGGTCATCCTCTTTAAAACTACCTCCGAAATAAACCTAGGGTCCTTTTTAAAGAGATATTCACTGCAGGCTACAGCTCCTCTTTTTTTTTTTTTCCTTGTTTAATACTATTAGCTGTTTTGGCTGTGAAACATATACATGATGATCTCAGCAATGTCTTGCTAATCCTAGCCATACAAGCAAAAGGCTGATTCTGCACCCAGAGATCTCTGCTGAAATGATTGATACAAATCCCCTGCCTGCCAAAGTTTAATACTGTTGTGGAAGTGGAGAGCCAAAATAATATGGAAAGATCTGCGGTACTTCTCTGCGGTACCCAGCTGAGATTCAAAACAAACTGCGCTGGCAGACTTTTCCTTAATGAAAAGACCTGCAGCTTTTGCATGTCTTGAGCACTCGGAGCTGTGGGTACCTGGCAGTTTTGTTTTTATATTTCGTGTTTATCACGGATACCACTTGATGGTGGGGTTTTTGGAGGGGTTTTTTGTTTGTCTTCGTTGTAGTTTGATAAGGGTTTGGGGACATGTATACACTTCATCCTTCCCATGAAAGAGCCCTTGTGTGTTCTAAAACTCCACTGCTACCTTACAATTTTTTAGCTCCCACTAACATGTAAAATCCTTGGGTCATCAGAGCAGTCTTGGATAGGTGAACGCTGTCCCCGCACTCGGAGGGTGCGGTGACTTTAATCCAAATACAGCTCTTGCCGACGGGCTAACTAGGTCAGTAAGCCTGTGTTGCTAAAAGAGTAACCCATGTTCCCTATACATAGTACTGTGCCTTATTATTTGACCAGCCTACATCTGTCTCGGTGCAATCAAATTACTATTCAGGGTTTCTTATACGTTGCAGATGTTCATGCTAAATGTCAGTGTCTAAAGAATTTACAGGTTAGCCTTTTTATTATAAATGTTGTGATGAGGTGTAATATGGTGGAGAATGTAGAAAACATACAAGGTGCACGTGAATATAACTCTGTGAAGGAACGCTTTGGAAGTCAGTCAGTCTCAAACTATGTATCTAAATGTAATGAACACATATTTCCTAAAGCTGTATTTCGGTTCATTTTTAAAAGAAAATAAATACATAATTTTCTTTAGCAACAGACTGTGCAAATTCCTAAAAGAAGTACTTGATTAAGAAAAACCAAAGTATTAATTATTTCCAGATGGTGTGCCTTACCTTGTATTGCCAGACACTACCTTCCGTGGAATCTAACTAGAGATCAGCAGAAAATTTTCAGACTCCACGTGAATGGGTGATTTCAGTGTGTCTATGCTAAACGTGATGAATGCTCTGGTCTGACAAATGTTCTTCTCGTTAACGGTGCTGTAATTAGGACATACCGAAGTTTTGCCATGACATTCTTCAGTTGTCACTTTCTTACTCAGGCCGCTAGAGATCTTTTTAAAGCCCAGAATCCTGCTTATCCCTAGGCTGAAAGGAGAAATCCAGTAATAGCCACTTAAGGAAGATTTGCTTTTATTAGAAACCTATAAATGGGTAACCTACTGTACACAAGTGGATATTGGAATAGTTTGAAGATGAAATCATGCTGCAATAAAAAGGTCTCTAGCTATGACCTGTATGATTAAACAACACGTTACATGCAGAAAGTTTGCAGGCACCACCGAGTGACTTTTTTCCTCATTTTAA